ATGCCGAGGTCACACAGGCAGGTCCTGGCTTGCCTCCCGAGGTCTCCGCCTCTTCGGTAACCCTGGCAGCTAGGGCTCCAGGTGGGTGGCAGATGGGGCCCTGAGGACGCTGCCCTGCTCGCTCTCTCCGAGGAAATACAAACTTTCCTTCGTTCGATACTTCGTTTTCACCTCATTCCGTCAGTGCTAAGCCCGTTAGGTGCAACTGATGTCATTTATTTATTTAAATACTATTATCAAAAAAAGAAAAGTTTACTGTGAGTCAGTGAGAGAGAGAGAGAGAGAGAGAGGGAGAGAGAAAGAGAGTGAGGCCCTCCTGCCGTGATCCACCCCTGCCTCTGTGTCACGGTCACGTGTGCTGCCATGCTTAGGGAGGCCGCGGGGCGAGAACCAGGACTCTCTCGCTCGGGCCCAGCCGCAGTGCCACCTGGCCGGGTCGCTGAGGGGCCGTGGCGCCCTGGTGTGCTGAGCCAGCTCACCATTCCGAGCTCCTGTGGTAGTAGTAGCCCTCTATGGAGGCCGCCGACTTCTGGAAGCAGATGTAGTAGAACCCGGCGAAGGAAGCACCGCTGATGTCTTTGATCGTGTGGTCCGGGACCAGGAACTGCTCCTGCACAGAGGAAGAGGGTCAGCAGGCCAAGCCCCGGGGCTCCCTGCTAAGCTCCACGGGGTTTTAAGGACCACCTGAAAAAAGAGAGGATTCTGGTCTCACCAGATTTACAGGGTGGTGGCCAGCCACTGGGTCTCAGCCTGACCTGTGAGCGGCGCTGACGTACCTCGGGTGTTCTGCACACCAAAGCACAAACCGTGCTGGGGCCCCTGGGAGCAGCATCGCAGAGAAGGGGCCCTGTCCGCACATCTCATCGATAACCAGCGCCTACTGCCTCTTGCCCCCCTCCTGCCCACCTACTGCCTGCCTGCCTCCCGCCTGCCTCCTGCCCACCTACTGCCTATGTACTGTCTACTTACTGCCAGCCTGCCTGCCTCCTGACTCTATACTGCCTACCTCCTGCCTATATACTGCCTACCTACTGCCTGTCTGCCTTCAGAGGCCACAGCCAGACCCCTAGGAGGACACGTTTCTGCTCCAGTTCCCAGGAGTGGTCCCGCAGTTCTTGATCGCCTTGAGAACAGTGAGCCACTTCTGTGGCTCCGTGGACATTCGGATCAATGGCCAGGAGTTCCCGTGACACCTGCCGTGACATCTCCCACTGACTCCGCAGCTCGGCAGAGGCCACGGGGAGGAGGGGACTGTTTTGACCAGGTACCTTATGAGAAGGGCAGGGCTGGTCCTGCTGGCCTGGACCTTGAGAAGCATACCCCAGCACCATCTCTTCTGCACGGGAGGGTGCAGTCTGAAGCCCCAGGGCCTCAGCAAGGCTCCTAAAGGCTCTCAGATGAGTCGGCCTGAGAAATCTGCAACGACTCCATTGCTTTTAAAAATTAATCTTTTTATTTAATCTCTGAAATTCTAGCAATTTAAAAACTGTTCAGGTTTTTGCCATAGGGCATGCACATTCTCCAGAGAGAGACAGAGAGGGCTCTCGGGGTCTTGGGTACACAAGCACAAACGCCAGGTGTTGATTCTCAGGCCCCTGCGTCCGGGACTCAAACCACAGCTGGCCATGCGGGAATCCAGCATCTTAACTGCTTTAACCACCATGCCACCTGCTGGCCCCCAAAATTCAAATTTTAAAAATGAATCTCGGGGCCAGTAGGTGACGTGGTGGTTGTGGCACCGAATCTGACCGATCACGGTTCAGTTCACAGCCCTGGTGGCTTACTTTCTCTCTCTCTGTCTCCTTCTGGTGAATTAAAATGAATAATAATAATAAATAAAGCTAATGATTCTTTAATGGGACCAGAAGATGTCATAGTGGTTACATCGCTGGGTTCCCACATGGCCGAGGGTGGTCGGAGTCTTGGACCCAGTGTTTCAAAGTCATGCCAGGTGCATGTGCGCGCGTGCCCGAGCTCCTGGGAGGAGAACGGAGAAGGGACTGCAGCGTGGCCATCCCCTCCAGGGGGTGATTTCTCGCTTTCCTTCTCACTGTGTTTCTCCCCACCCCGCCCTTGCAAGTGCACATGCCCTAAGGCCAAAAAAATTAATCTTAAAATTAGGAGACACTTCCTCTGGCAGGGTCTGGCTGGCATGCGTCCCCTATGATGGTGAGCTCATGGGGTGGGACTCGCCACTGACTCCCCGTGCCTTCCAGCGGGGAGTGACCGTGTTCACCCCTCAGAGTGATGAGCGACGCCAAGTAAGGGGTGGGTGCCCGGTCTCTGCGAAAGCTGGCACGATGCCAAGTAAGACGCGGTCTTCCCCAATGCCGGGGACCAGGGCTGGGGCGGGTGCGTGTTCAGAGTGCTCTGATGAACTTGTTCCATGGCTGTGCCACCCCAGGGCTGCAAACGCTCTGCTCTCTAAAACAAGGAGCACAGGTGACTCCTCACTGGGAGCCAGCCACTGAGTCAGCCAGCCACGGAGAGTCCCGGCTGGAGCTGGAGCTAGGGCTGGGGACTGGAAACACCACATTCCATTCCTGCCCCTCATTTCCTGAGCTGGAGGGAAGCTGAGGACCTGAGACTGCCAGGCCCAGGGGGAGGATGTGGAGGAGCAGCGCTGAGACCCACGGCAAGGACAGGGGGACGTGACTCAGTCAAAGAAAGCCTGGCTTGCCCTGAACCCACAGAATGACTCAACCCGGAGGTCCAGAGGGATTCCTGGGAGGGAGAGAGGAAATGGAGCGGGCACAGCAGTGTCAGAGACCTGCACGGCTCACCCGAGAACCACCAGCCGATGTTGCGTGAACCAGGGCGTGCTCTTCACACGTGTCAGGCACTGCCACGGGGAGCCCGTGGCTGGGAGGGACAGCTGGGCAGGGCAGATGTGTGGGTGCACCCCAGTGGGAGCCTCAGAGGATTGCTGGGTGAGGCCTTACCTTCCACCTCATGAAGACATAATCCCCATTCTTCAGCTCTTCATAATCGAAGTCATCTGAATTAAACGATTTTGCATACTGATAAAAAGCCAGAAACTTGCCCTGAAAGCAAAACGCAGGGTTCAATGGATCAATCAAGAGCGGAGGGCTGGTGCCAGGACTCCCTTTCCGTGCCCAGGTGCGAGCACCTTTCCAAAGGCATGGCAGTTGGCAGACGTGCCCCCCCCCACACACACACACAGGGCAGCTAAGGCTGAGGAGTGACGGGGCCTCTGGTCACCCTGCGGGAACGCAGACCTGAGCTCCAGGGCAGAGCCCTGGCCCCTAGCAGGGCACCGCCAGACCACCTGCCCAGCTAACACGGCCCAGGAGAAGGCCAAGGATGGGCACGGGTGCCTTCCAGAGCCCGTTCTCAGAGCAGGAAGAGCTCCGTAGGTAAACCCACAGTAGCGGGAGAGCCTGCAGGACAGCTAGAAACAGCCTGTCCGGCCGTGGGAGAGCGAGGGTTCAGTCAAGCTTGGTCCTTGGGCAGGACGTGAGGCTCCTGGCCAGTTAAGGAGAAACTGAAAACAGGTAAAATATAATTACATTTAAAATGGAGATTAGAAATAGGTTATAAAACCATATCTTATGATCTTGTTTTTGTAAAAAAAAAAGAAAGAAAGAAAGAAAAGAAAACGATAGATAACCCAGACGAGACTCAGGAGATGACGACAGGGTTAAGCTTCTGTACTGTCGTTAGAGCTGAGCTCCTCCCTTTTGCTTTTATGTTTTTCAGATATTCCTGAATAAGCATGTAGTAATTTCATAAGAAAACTCTTGTTTTTTTTTTTTTTTTTTTTTTTTTAGGGGTTTTCGTTATAGGGTGCATACGCTCACCAGAAAGAGAGAGAAACAGAGAGACAGAAAGTGAGAAATCACCCCCCGGGGGATGGCCACGCTGCAATCCCTTCTCCTCCATTCTCCTCTCGGGATCTTGGGCACACATGTCCGGCGTGAATTTAAGCCATTGGTCTGGGAATCAAACCATGGTCGACTATATGGGAGTCCAGTGACATAGCCATTATGCCATCTACTGGTTCCCATAAAAAAAAATTTAAATACAATATTTTTAAGATAAAGTCACAGACTTCTGTCACACAGGTATTTCTGCTCTAAGTAGTGAGGACAGACAGTCTTGACTTAAGCGTACCCCCATACCACCCTTCAGTATCGCCCAGGAACACCTGAAGGTGCAGTTCAGCATGACGTCCTGATTCTCGTCTACAGTGGAAAACGAGACCAGGGGTGAGGTTTACCAGATGCACGCTGCAAATCCGGATGCGTGGAGGCCCAGTGTAGAGCTCCCAGAGTCCCAGCTGGGCACCTGGGCATGCCCGTGGGTCGGGAAGACTCCGGGAAAGCTGAGTCCTATCGGCGCGGCCAGTCCTGCGCGTCCCGCAGGCCCTGCTGCCTCACCCTACCACACTCGCCGAGGGTAGCCTTCCAAGTCCCTTGCTCACCCAGAGGGTTTTGATCCAGTCTAGCAAAGACCAGGGTCTGAGGAAGTCAATGGGAACGTCACAAGTAGCTTTCCAGGCCTTGGCAGCCAACCTAGCCCAAAACTGAGCAGCCACTGGGCCTCAAGGACTTTGCTTTCTGCAGGGCCAACTCGAAACGGAAAACTGGTGGAGGGGAGAAGGCTGTGGTTTACTACGAGGAAACTTTCCACACTGGGACTGCCGAGGAAGGAGCTACCTCATGAGGTAGCAAGCCATGCAGAAAAAGCTGTGTTGGGGCCAGCAAGTGGCACAGTGGTTAAGGCGCTGGACTCCACATGACGGATCGTGGTTTGAGTCCTGGACCTGGCGGCTTGAAAGAAACTCACACCGGGTGTGTGTGTATGTGTGCCCGAAATCCCAGGAGGAGAGAGGAGGAGAAGGGACTGATATGTCGCCATCTCCCCTGGGGGTGATTTCTCACTCCCCCTCTAGCTGTTCCGGTGACTGCTCTCTATGACAAAAGCATTTTAAAAAGGGACCAGCAAACGGTGTAATGGTTATGTCGCTGGACTCTCACGTAATCGACCCGTTAAGAATCCTTGACCCAGCAGCTTTAAATTCACACCAGGTGCGTGTGCATGTGTGAGTGCCCAAAATCCCAAGAGGAAACTCGAAGAGAAGGGATTGGGGTGTGGCCACCCTTCAGGGTAATTTCTCGCTTTCTGTCTCTCTGTGTCTGTCTTTCCAACAAGTGCATGTGCCCTATAGCAAAAATCTCTCTTGATAAAAGAGAACCACACTGGGTGTAAGGCAGGGTTGGTGCAAAGGACACCACGCAGCTCTGCTTTTTCTTTCTTTCACGTTTCTTTCTTTCTTCCATGAACAACACAGAGAGAAAGAAGGACAGCACCCTCAGCAGGTTCTTAAGGCCACAATCCACCCCCGCCCACCCTGGACCGTGGGCACGAGAATGCCCAGGGTACTCAAAGAGGTCGCTGCATGCAGACTGGGCGCACCCTGTGTGGGTCAGCTTTGCAGAGCATCACTGGCACTGTCTGGACCCCGGCACTGGGCCATCACACCACCTGGGCTCCCCCGCCTTCAGGATACTTGGGTCTTGTTCACTGACTCGAGTGACAAAGACAGAAAACTATCTAGCTTTGTGTGTCCGTTTTCTAAAAAATCAAAACAATAGCTTTCACAAAATGACTTAAAAAGCTCAAATTTAAGTTTAAATTTAGGGCCAGCTTTGTGGCATAATGATTAATAGAGCCAGATCTTCTATGGCTGACCACAGTTAGAATCTGGGATCCAGTGGCTTGAAAAATACACTAGAGGAGAGGGCCAGCAGATGGCACAGCAGTTACATCGCTGGACTCCCACATGGCCAACTGCGGTTTGAGTCCCAGACCCGATGGCTTGAAACTCATGCTGGGAGCATGTACATGCATGGCCAAGAAACTTTAATAAAAGAAAAAGGGGAGCTCCTCCTGGGAGGAGAATAGAGGAGAAAGGATTGTGGCGTGGCCATCTTCCTGGGGGGTGATTTCTCACTTTCCCTCTCACTGTCTCTGTCTCTCTATGGTGAGTGCACATGCCTTAAGGCAAAAACGTCTTTAAAAAAAAAAAAAAACTGGAACCAGCAGATGGTATAATGTTATGTCACTGGACTCCCACATGGCTGACCAGGGTTTGAGTCCTGGACCCAGAGGCTTGACACTCACGCTTGGAGTATGTGTGTGCGTGCCCAAAATCCCAGGAGGAGAAGGGACTGCAGGATGGCCATGACCTCTAGGAGGTGATTTCTTGCTTTCTGTCTCTCTGGTGAGTGCACGCACCCTATAGCAATAATCTATCTTAAAAACAAAACAAAACACCGGGGGAAAAAATAAAAATAAACAACAAAAATCATACTGGGCCTATGAGCATATGTGCCCCACACCGTACAGAATGGAGAGATGGTGGTGAGGGAGGAGGTCTGACTACGCTCCCTTGGAAGGAGCTTTCTCTTCTCCCTCTCTCCTCCTCTCCACTCCTGGTGAGTACACATGCCCTCTGGCAACTGAAAGTTAAAAACGTATTCAACCCAAACTTGGCATTTCGCAGGTGCTCCTCCCGAACTCAAGTTAAAAAGCGTTAATAAAGAAGCAGCTGATCTGCAGCGAGGCTGTCTCAGGCCAGGGCCTGCTGCGTCATGCCAGAACCAGGGTGTGAGTGGCAGTGGGGAGAATGAGTTCTAGAACCTTTGTCACGGACACAGCTGCCTCTGGGGCGAGCACACTGGACTTGGCCAGCGCTGGAGGTTCACCGGTGTGGCCACTAAGCTGAAACGCTGTCACACCAGGCTGAGGGGGGAGTTTTGAAGACGGGAGACTTCTGGGACTGTCACTGAGGACGCTGGGACAACCATCTTGAAGCGGCTGTGACCGGAGGACAGACGGTAAAGGGGGAGCCTGGAGCTCTGGGCGCTGTCCTCTCCTGAGTCTAGTGGGGCGGGGACCAGCAGCGACGTGGCTGTGTGTCACCGGCAAGCCAGCACGAGGCCAGGTTCCCTGAGGGGCACCTCCACCTCCCATCGACCCTACAGTCAGTGACAACTGCTGGGTCACAGGGTCCCCCCAGGCGGAGGGGACTGGAGAGGAAGGATGCACGGGAGATGGACCACGGGCAGGAACTGCTGACAGCAGAGCTGGCCTTGGTGGAACTCTGCGGGTCTGTCGTCGGGTAACCATCGGTTGCGTAGGGGAGGTCTGGGGCCAAGGCACAGGGGAGCACAGCCGGACCCACACGCCGCCTCCTCCTGGGTTCCCGGCCAGGACTGCCCCGAGCACACTGGGTGTGTGCATGCGTGCCAGTGACCCAGGCCGGCTGAGGCTGGGGTGGACTGCGGCGTGAAGACCCTCAGGGATGCTGGCACATACCCTGGGTCTCGCTCGCTCTCTGATGAAATGAACTTAGAAGAAACAAACCAACAGAAGGGAAGGCGGGTGAGCTGAGGCCTGGGTGGAGGAACGGCCTCCCTCCCCCTGGCTACAGAGCCCCGCGGACCCCTGGGAGGGAAGACCGGGGTCATCCTCCAGCAGACCCTGGGCCGCCCAGAGCGACCAGCCCGACTCACCCAGTGTTTCCGATCAACGTCTTCATCTGCGTCCCACTTTCGAGTTAAGAAAGGGTGCTTTTTGCTGATTATTTCTCCTTCAAAGAAGGTTGTGAGGGTTGGATACTCCTGTGGACAAGCCCAGATGTCAGAACAGGGCGTCGAATGAGTGCTGGAACCTTCTGCAGAACCAGCCTTGCCTAACTTCTTCCTGATACTGAACGAAACCAGTCACGGGGCTCGCAGTCCCCACCCGTCAGACAGGGCTGACTGGCCCGTGCGCCGTGGAAACAGATCTGGGTTAAGTCCCTCACAATGGCTCGGCCACAGGCAGTCTCTGACTGCACTCGTTCATGTGCGGTCTCCCAGAAAGGAATGTGGGCGGTCCCACAGGTACATTCTGGATATTCTAGTGTTCAAAGTGGACCCGGAATTAGATCTTACTTTCCAAGGTATTCACCCCCAAACAGGCTGCAACACCCCACTGCTCACAGTCAAGTCTCCTGCAAGCCATGGACTGGCCCTTCTCAACCTGGCACCTGCCGCTTTCATAGCAATTCTTCTTTCTAGCAGTGAGCGTTTTGGTAGGCTATCTTGATGTATCTTAATTAGATGCAGAAATACATCTAATTCTATTACATGACCTAAGACAATTTATAGAAGGGGAAATATATGCAAATGATGTCTGAAAAAATGCTAATTATTATAAAACATATCATTGAGGGGTCAGCAGGTGGTGTGGTAGGTAAGGCTCTGGACTCCCAATGGCTGACCACGGTTCGAGTCCCGGACCTGGCAGCTTGCTTTCTCACTGACTCTCTCTCTTTCTGGTGCGCACACATACCCTAAAAAGCAAATTGAAATAACAATAATAATAATAAATAAAATAAAAACAATTTTTAGAAGAACACGTCACTGAAGGAATAAACAAGTTGTCACATGCTACTTAGAAGAGAAAAAAGTTTCCATGAAAAGTTCATAGAAAATACACATGAAAAAGTTAGGCATGGATTTAGACTGTTTTTTCGCACTAAAGTAAACTCATGCTTTAATTTTACTTTTCTCACAAACTTTTGGAAGTCCCCTTATACTGTTCATTGCATTTGCCACTTGTTTATGTATCTATAAATAGGCAGGGCCAGCCAGTGGCAAGGTGGTTCAGATCCCACACAGCCTGAACCTAAGTTCTTAGGCCTGGACCTGAAAGCTCAAGAAACACGCTGGGTGCGTGTGTGTGCACATGCCTGGAACCTCAGAAGGAAGAAGTGGAGGAGGGCCTGTGATGCGACCATGCCTGGTGGGGAATGCTCTCCCGCCTCCTCTCTCTGTGTCGCTCTGGCAAGCGCGTGCATCCTCCACCTTGCCTGGCAAGCCACAGACGCAGTCCTAAGGTCCTCAT